AGAAGTTTTCGTTGAATTTTCCATGATTCCCTATTATTAATGCGAAATGCGCGTTTAATGTTTAACGTTAAGTATTCAAACAAAGAAAATCATTGTATGACCTACCCATCAACATTGAAAATTCCATCGCCAAATAATTCTATAATCATACGCCTGTGATAAGAGCTCTTTAAATAGTTCTGAAAATTGTCTTTCAGAACATGCTCTAAATGTTTCGGCGTACTGATCAAAATAAATCGCATGCCAGGTAAAGTATATGTGCTAATAACAAAAATAGATCAAGAAATTACTACTATAGTTTTAATAAAATATATTAACGCAAATACTAACCATGTTTCACCGTATTTTTGACTCAGTTCAGATAAGTGATCAGGGTACCTTTCCGCATTATGCGCATGAAAAACTAGGTTGCCGATGATTGGATGTCCTTTTGGCCCTTTAAGATCGAGTCTAGCACTTGTTCCGATTGCTCTATTCGGGTACCTGATTACCAAATACGCAATGAACAAGAGGAAAAAGAGGAAACAGAGGAAAATTAAATCTAGCATATTAGTATGTTTTTATCTGTAAAAGTATTTATTTCTAGACAAAAAAATACTGTAGTTTATAGCAGCAGCACTCTTTTAAATAACACATGAGATTCAGTATCCGTTTCAAGACATGTATTTTCGATTATTTAATTGGTTTGGATCAATATCACTATATGAATTATTAAACTATATTTGCAATAGTTTATTATCAATATTACCATTTTTGTATGATATCATATATTGCTTGCCATGTGAACCATGATTATTTACAAATTTGGAAATCGATTAAAATTTAAAACGTTCAACAAAAATATAGTATGATCGAATGCGATATTGTAACACAAGTTCTTCTCTTCTTTTAACTCCAAGATGAAAGCTACAAATAACTGATTGCATCAACGCTTGGAATATCCAAATCACGATAATATGACATTAATATGACCATCCAAACAATGTATGTCATACACCCTCGTTAGTATGATCTGGAATGCCTCTGAGTAGGGCATTATTCTCTTAAAAATCAACACATGATACATTCTCCTTCTATGTCAACGCCGGTTTGAATGTCATTTGACATGTCAAAAAATTATAAGAACTATTACTAATAAGGTTTTTCAATTTAATCTTTACAATAAAATAATATATATATATATTCTTTAGACAATTCTTGAACCGAACAGTTTTTCTTAATAGACGAAGACTCGTTAACTTAGTGAAATCGTGAGTCGAATTGACATCCTTCGTGATTGACTCCGTGTCACGGTAACATGTATTACGGCTTTCAAAGGATGGAGATACAGTATGTACACCTAAAAGTAACGCCCGGTCCAAAATTATATAATAAAAGAGATTTCAAGCTATGTATATAACTAAATTTTATATCAGTTTAAAGCTAATTATTGTATTTTTGAAAAAATGAAGACGATTAATCGATTACTCGTTTTAAATAAACCCGATTAATCGATTTTAATTTAAGGAATCGATTCTCAACAATTACGACGACGATGACGACGACAGTAATGACGACGGCGATGACATAACTGGATTTGTTTTGCATTGCATGTTGATTTTTTTCCCTTTACTTTGATTAATTGAAATACTTTGATTAGTTGAAGAGATACTACGTGGTAAAGCTAGTGCATGTATAGAGATAATTGAAGTATTGTCATCTGATTGAGATTTGTATCATTACATAAGTTTGGATCAATATTAGTTATTTTTGGTATTAGTATCTATCAGAGTTAATAGTTTCCTGGTTATTATCAATATAAACATTTTTGTTGCATGACAGAATAGTTTGTTCTGTTGTAACATTTGCCATGTTTTTACGCGATTTATGCATCATCCTTATTAATCGATATAAGTGTTGGATTGCACACAAAGAATCTGCGCTATATAGCGCTAGGTTTTTCGATCACAGACCGGATTGCTAATCCAGATGTGGGAAATTTGTTTTTGATCGAGTACAAAGTTCATAGGATTACGTAACGGTAAACAACAATCGTTGTTATTTATGTTAGAACATCGATATCAATATGGCCATCCATTATTCAGCATAAATTTTTTTCTGTCTCAAAATCTATAATTAGCTTGCTAACTTGAATTTTTAAATAATGACAACTTTTTTGTTTGGAACCCACCATGCCCAAAATCCGGAAAGCATTGTTGAAACTATTCTTTGCTTTTTTTGCTAATGATGATAAGATAATACTGTAATTGTGCAAAATTCTACTTCTTAGAGATTAATGCTATCGTATAAATATTTAGTCGTGACTAATTAAAAAAAAAACAATATTCATAACGATAATATGTACATGGTAATTTGTGTTATAAATGAATAAAACTTTATCAATAAAAGCTGTAGAACTTACTTTTCTAAGGATAGATCATAATCAAGATGTGGCTTGTAATTTGCTTGTCTATAGATTTTCTAAAACAAGAAACTTGGTAGTCTGATTAAAAGCATAGTAGTAGCGGTAGCGATAGTTAAACAAAGGTTAATACCTCAAGAACCCATTATAATGCCACGCTATTTAATCGATCGATCGAATTAAATTATAATTCAAAAATCAATAAGAAATTTGAACACTCAAATTCCATTGTACATGTACAAATTCTCGGTTTCTTTTAATACCAAATGGCCATTTAATTGATTTCGTTCTGGTGTAATTAATGTTAAGTTTCCCCATCTGAAATAGACATTTCAAATATTTACGTGCAAGTTGTGATAGGAATTGATTCGTCGATTCTCGAGCACAGATTACTACGATGATGACGACGACGACAGCAAGCTATGACATAGTTAGACTGGTTTGCTTTTATCGTTATTGCATGTTGATTTTTTTCCCTTTTCGTGAAGTTGTACTTCGATTAGTTGAATTCGTAGAGATGCTACTTGGCAAAAATGGTATATAGGCAATTGAAGTATTGTCATCAGCTTACATGTATTCTGTTATTAATTGTTTCATAAGTATTAATCGATTCTAAATTAATAATCGATTCCTATCCCTAGATCCTGAACTGACTGAATTAAACTCATACTAACAATGTGACATAATTTATAAAAGATGTTTTATCGTAAAGAATTATTATATAATCAAATTTAAGTGCAATAGATGTTTTGCATTTAAGCTTGATTATATAATAATTCTTAATTATGGCTAAAGACTTAACTTGAATAATCTGAATGATGTTTCATATTGAATAGAAATTTATCACTTTGTTAATATTTTTGTTACTCCTCGATAATGCTAAATTTTATTGTTGTTCCTGGATTGTAACTGTTACTGCAATGACTTTTCCTTGTGTAAAAAATAAGGCTTATTGATTTTTTGTCATTTAACATTATGCATAAAGTTTTTCTTTCTAATAAATTACTTTAAAAATATTTTGTTGCTGTTAGCATAATAAAAAATTTGAAGATA